GTTTTCTTGTTTAGTGTGTAAGGTATTGATAATCACTCTCAATAAAGCCACCAGCCAGAGCACAAGTGTCTTTCCTTCCATCCACTAGAAGCAGAGCAAGAATAATACTTCCAACAGTTGGTATTTCATAGTTTCCAGTGACTTTCAAATTGTAATATGACAACATATGATGCTGTGTTCATTTTATAAACAAATATTTAGTACGCCTACACAAACTACCAAATAATCAAATACATTTACCATAAACGTCCGATGTCATTCTGATAAAATTCATTCTTTTCCTTTTGTGACCTCGTGGTATAAAGACTAAAATCCTAGAGATCTTACAAGTAATTTTTTTTTAACCAAAACTATTGGGGATATTTTATATCCAACAAAACAGTAAAAGGAAGTTAAATAAACTACTAGTGGAATAATTATAATACTATCAAATATCACAGAAATATCACAAAAGGGGTTTTCCAACTGGAACTGGTAAGAATATAAAAAGTGTTTTTCGAGTCAGGTTCGAATATTTAGTGGTATTATTCTTGCAGTGACGCTGATATAAATCTATTGGTTTGCTTTCCATTATTGGAGAATTTGGGCAATGTCCCTTTAAACCTCCATCCCCGAAAAAAAACAACAAAATTCAATCGTTTGTGTATATGAACAAGTCACGCAAAAATATATTCTGTTTGGCCGAACTAATAATAACCCTGGATATACATTTCATCATTGAAAAGCGACTTAATCTACTTGGCACTGGTTTTCCTTACCTCCATCATTCCGCAATTGAGTTCCAAAAGGGTTATAGTTTCAGCCACAACAACAACAGCAATAGTACGGAGGTAAATTCTGCAACAACAATTCCTCATCAGCAGGTATATTTGATTATCCAGAACAACACTAAATCATTATCACACAACATAATTTTTCATTAAATTGGAAATCTCCAATTTGTAGCACAATCAGAATCAAATAAATATACTTAAATTCATTATAATTTCTTTTTATTTCTGATTTATATTTCCATATATTTAATTTTGTAATATATTATTATAATTTTCACAAATTCACTCAGCTTGTTTTGATTTACAATTTCTTATAACTGATTTTTCTGAGGTATCACCTATCTCCTTCATATCCATTACATTAAACATTAGTTGATCTATTTCATTTATCTGAAGAAGAAGAAGCATCAGTAATTAGAAAGAAATTGAAAACCAAAAACAAAGCTGACTAGAAAATAGGTAATAAGCAACATAGAATAATTTGACCTACTTTTAAGCGAAACAATTGTTAAAAGAGAATTTTAGTATATCGCATGAGATAAAATTTATTAGAATCTACATATCCCAACATACATTTTATACGAAATTGTTAGTTTGCACAGAATTTAAAGCGTATTACAAATGTATTATAATTTATAAGTATCTACAGTGAAATTAAGATGAATTGCTAATTCTAAATAATATAAAAAGGAATATGTTTAAATGAACTACTAAATGCCAAAGTATCGATGATTTCTTGCAAAGGGAGCATATAGATTACCGTGGAAAGGAAGGGTTTTGCTCTAGTGACATATCATCTAGTCACTCAACGTAAGTATTTGGTTTTGGAAATTGTTCTAATTTAAAAATGCTCTTTAAAGAATTATGTGGCAATATATCGGCATGATGATTCTTTTTTATGCTTATGTGCTCCATAGGCTTTAGACCGAAGAACCACGCCAGTCCGACCAGAGCTAGTCGAAGAAAATTAAACATGCCAAACAAGGTCTAAAGTTGATGGTTTTCAGAAAAAAATATCGGCACATAACATAATTTAAAAATAGACACAACAACAGACAAAACACTTTCCAACCCTGCTGCAAGCATACTCTTTTTGTCGGTATGTTTTTTTGTTTACCAATTTCTTGCAAATTGTAAGAAAACGACATTGTTATATTTGTTACTCCTTTTATTCTTAGACTGAATCCTCCGTTACCATTCTTCCGCTAATGTTCTTTTAATTGTTTTGTGCTGAAATGAACAAAAATATTTTTGATGGTGTTCGGGGAATATTACTATTTTATTCCAAATCACCGAACTCTGCGAAACACTTTAAACCACTAAACTCTGCCTAATATAGGTGAGGCTTGATGTAACAGCGTGTAGGCGTGAAGGGCATCAGTGGAATCAAGGGGAATGCTAAAATAGCTGCTAAAGAGAAAATCTGCAGATAACCAGCGCTCCAAAGGAAACAAAAGATGACCGCCAGAAGAGTTGTTCTTCAGACCCAAATTGGACAATGAAACAGATATATTCAAATCAGCAAAACTATATATTTTACGGCCAAGGATTTTTAGGGCACAATATTGACAATGTCATCAATGGGTCCGGAAATCGCCAAAAATTATGTTTTTTATCCCGTTTCGGATTATGTAACTTCGAGCTTGTAGACTTTGACCTTTTAGCCAATGAGTATGTTTAAAGCCTCACGATCAGAATACAATGAACAAAATGTCTTCCCCTTTACCACCTTTTGTAACCTCGGCTAATTCACTACCAAACGACTCAATTAAAAATAATTCTTCAAATATAAAAACAAATACATAATCAAAACACTCACATTTCATGTATTAATGTGTATAGAAGAATATCGTAATTAGAGAAACCTGTCACCACTATTACGTAGCCTACTCACAATCGAGTAAAGTTAGCCGAAATTCAGATATAAATGCTTCACAGCAAATTTAAATGCAAAAAAAAAAAATAAAATAAAAATAAAAAAATTATGTCCTTGCTGGGATTCGAACCCGGATCGTCCGGTTCGGAACTCGACGCGCCTCCTCTGACCTACCAAGGGCGTCGGATCCAGGCTGGCCAAATAGGATCAACGTTAGATCGCGATTAGCGGTATATTAACTAAGATCTCTCTGGTCCATTATACTATATCACCATCATGAAGTGTAGATGGTGCGGTGAAGAAAGAGAAGAAGAAGAGAAGAAAGATAAAAAATACAACCCAAATGATAACGTTGAACCAGTGAAACAAAGTAACCAGTTAGGAATGCAGTAAAGTCGGACTGGGCCGACTACATGCTACCCTTCACCACTTTGGGTATATTCTACATATGTCTCCTAACAGACTCTGCCTTTTCGGAAGAACATTGACATGAAATTGAATATACTTGAATATGAGATGTTAATGGAACCTGGTACCTTTCATTTCATTCGGGCAATTTTAGAGTCGTTTGGGTACAATGGGACAAATTTGTGTACATCGATTTTATTTACATAAATTTAGTCTCAATCAGATACCCGTTTTTATTATATATGGAGGTCTGTGTTTGCATCTGTACCAATTAAAAAAGGCTATAACGTCATTCTAGTCTCAATTTGATGCGTTTATTGTCAACTGGTGCAACATTTACCAAAACTCCAATGAACATACAAATGGTAGCTATATCTAAATTTGAACCAATTTTTACGCAGCTTAACAGACATCATTCTAGACTCAATTCAGTACGCAATGCCAAATTTCGCGCAAATCGAAAGATACATAGGGAGTTTGGTGCACCATTTACCTATATCTAAATCTGAATCGATTTTCACGAAACTCGGCACACATCACTCTAGACTTAAATGAGTACGCTATTCCAAATTTGGTGCAAATATAGGGACACCATTTACACAAAATCGGACCAAACTATATATAGGAGCTATATTTAAATTTGAGCCGATTTTCACGAATCTTAACACATATCATTCTGCACTTTATTAAGTGTGCTATGCCAAATTTCGTGCAAATCGAAAGATACATAGGCGTTTGTTGCACCTATATCTAAATCTAAACCTATTTTCACGAAACTCAGCACTCATCATTCTAGACTTAACTGAGTAGCTATGCCGAATTTTGTGCAAATCGAATGAAAATTAGGGTCTTTGTTGCACCATTTACATAAATCGGACGAAACTACACATGGGAGCTATATCTAAATCTGAACCTATTTTAACGAAACTTAGCACACATCACATCAATTCAGTACGATATGCAAGATTTTGTGTAAATCGAATTATATATAGGGACTTTGGTACACCATTTACATAAAATCGGACAAAACTATATATGGGAGCTATATCTAAATTTGAACCGATTTTCACGAAACTTAGCACACATCACTCTAGACTTAATTGTTGTTCATACCATTTTAATCTGTTCCCAATTTTGCTACGGCGTTTCAATGTGGATATTGATTCCTGTTGATATGCTGTGCTGGATATTTCATTACCTTTACATTATTTTGTCGTTCTTGATTGAATGCGTATTTTAGTTATTTTGGAAAGAAAATGTTGCCCCAAGTTTTTTCTGTCGTTGACAAAGAATTTTTTAACTGTTGTTGTTTTACTGGTAGATATGACAATCAATGTTGCTCCAGATTACTTCCATTGAATCGTTCCCACAGTAGTTTTGTTTTTGCGAATGGAGTAAAGGAATAACTTAGTCAATATCTTTGGGAAAAAATAAAAAAAATGTTTTTTTAAAGTTGTTAATTTTTTAATAAATATTCCATATATTTTTTTAGAAACAACATCTAACCTGAAACAAATAAAGTTCTCTTACAACTTTCTAAAATGGAAACTTTTGAAATAATTTATTGAATTGGATTAATAATTGAAGAACATTGCATATAGTGTTGACGATGTACACCGGAAGTTTATGCGTTACCTCATCGCAGTAAAAGTTTCCAACAAACAGTAGTATCGTAAACTAACACCCGAAACATACCACCATCATTCACTGGCGATATGAAGTCCAACAAAATAAAAACCAAAAAAATTATTGAAAGTATTGAGGATGTCGAAATAGTGTGGTTTAATGTGAAAATATTGAAATTTTGGTCTGTACTCATCGATGATAATTGGCGTCAATATTTCTCGTATATACCCTTCTTCTTTTTGAATTTATTTCAATTATTGGATTTATATTACACCGAAAAACCGATTGACGACAAAATTCACGATACTTACATGACAATGTTAATGTTCAATGCTTTTTTGCGGGCAGTGGTAATGGTTACAAAACGTCAAAAATTTACTCAACTACTGGATTATATGAAGGTCATTTATACGGAATTGATGATGAGAGATGATATAGAAATACGGCGTATCATGCAGGAGCATACCGAATTAGCTTTAAAAGTTTCGAAAATAAATCTCTTTGTTGGTATATTGGCCGGTGTGGGATTTTCCGTATTTCCTATTATGTCCGACAAGAGAGGTGGGTGTTTAAATGAACTTCGTGCCTCTTTTACTTACCTTACATTGTGTTTCTTTCTAGAATTTATTTTTGGCATATACCTTCCATATCTGGATGAATATCGAAGTCCCTGGTATGAAATATTGCTGACGATCCAATGTGTCTTAAATCTCTATGGGTTGTGCATGTTTATACCCTTCACTGGGATATTTGTATCGTTTATAATTTTCGCCATTGCCATATCGAAAATATTACAATATAAATTGAATACAATTTCCCAAGAGGTTTCTTCGAAATTAGTTCAAAGGAAAATTATCAAATGTATAGAATTACATTGGAAACTAATAAGGTTGGTTATATATCAGTAATAATAAATTAAATTGATTAAAATGTTCATTTAATATATTTATATTATAGGTTTGTCAATAATATTAACGAACGTAACTTTACCATATCCTTGGTAGATTTAATATTATTTGTTGTTGTATTGTGCATTATGCTGTTATCATTTATTTTGGTAAGTCTTTATTTGAAGTTTTTTTCAACTAGAATACATTTTTTACTTTCCCTTCCAGGTCACAACGGTTCTACAAAAATGCGTTATAATAGTTTATATTATAACGGTATTTTCGCAGCCATTTATTTTATATTATTTTTCGAATGAAGTGTATTATGAAAGTTTGGAAATATCAACGGCTGCCTACAATGTAAATTGGTTCAACTACGATATTGAAACTCAAAAGATGTTGAAGATATTTCTCCTTAGAACCCAGAAGCCTTGTGCGGTATGCTTCAACATTTTATATTATTTCAGCTCCAACAAAATCTAATGTTTTTTCCGTTGACGTTTCAGGTATTAATTATGAAAACGTATGTTATTAATTTAGGAACTTTACAGTCTTTGCTGAAATTTACCTATAGTATATTTACTCTATTGCAACAATTTTATGGATAATAAAATTAAATGCAATAATTAACCATATTTGCATTTGGAAAGATATTGATTTTATATAGAGATTTTATACCCTACACCACTTGGAGAATATTATAGAGTTGATCATTGGGTAACCATAATTAGTTCAAATAAAAAGTGTGTCATATAAAAGAGCTATAACCATATTCCATTTAAAACAAACTGTATAGACAAATAATCGTCTATGCAGAATTTTATTTTCTATCATTGCCTACAAATGACCATCTTAATCAATTAACCACGACAAAGTTAAAAATTAACTTAAAAAAATTAGTCCTAATATCACTCAAGTCGACACTAGTGTCAAGTAACCCTTTTTTAAAGGAAAATGAAGACCAACATTTTTAATGGGTAAAAAAAGTTTAAAAAATTAAATTTAGAAAAATACAGTCGTTATTTAAATCGATAAAATCCATGTATTTCAACCTTTACATTTGGCAGGAACTTAATCCATCTTAGAATTTTAATATTATTACAGAAAATACAATCTTCGATAAACTGAGTCAATTCCCTCTTGCATTAACATGCAGAAATTTACAAAACATATATTTTAGTAAATGAAGCCAATATCTAAAATACTTTTTAAGAGAACATGATCAGAGGCATGCTTTATTGATATTTTGCTACATTTTTTCTGAATTTGTTGTTCATTTCCTCATTGTAAATCCTGCAGATGGTTATTCAAGGGTATTCATGCTCTTCCTAAAATCCCAAAGACCTTTAAGGCATTTAAGGTATTATATTCGATGACAAATTGTTTAATCTCCTTCTCTATTTTTCCACCAGACAAAAACATATTTATGGGTCAAATATGTCACCACAATTCGCACCCCATGGCAAATGATAAACTGACTTCAATCTTAAGAAAATTCATTCAACCTAACCTTAAATCAACCACTGACATTTCATTGAATTGAAATTAATCCTACCCCTCCAGTCACCCAAACAAATATTTGTATTATTGGACGTCTCCAAAAATACAAATATTTGTGCACAATTCATTTTCATTGCTGGTCCGTTTATCGTATTTGTCTTTTTTTTAAGTATTCAATTTAATATTCAACCGAAGATGAAAATAAATGCTTATGAAATATTAAACCAATGGAGTGCCAACCATTCGGCCATAAATGCCTCTGGCCACTCGGTTGATAAACAGAGGGATATCACTTAGCAATGTAAAAGAATGCGATTGTCTGGATGACTAAGATAAAGTTGGGATGGGGAAGGGAAGGTGGATGGGAATTTACAAACCAACAACAAGGAGAACAAATGATTATAATTCCTTAAACAAAGACAAGTTGACGCACATAGATACAAGTGTGTATTATTAACGCAAAGAACTAAATCTAAATTTAATAATTTAATAATAATGGCGTCGTTGGATCCCGCAAAGTATGGCAATCGTGCTGATTGTTTAAAAAAAAAGAATACGATAGCGGTGCTTCTAAAGATGTTTATATGATTCTCACAGGGGACACATCATGGATATATACAAACGACGCACAAACGTAACAGCAACCGACCTTGTGGGCTTTCAATGACAAGGACATGTCATTGCATATATTTTGTTGTAGTTTTCACTCAATAAAAACTATGGCGTAATAATAGATTCAATAAACCACATTTCGTTGAATTTTAAATATCTTTAATATCATTCTTTCACCCACTGTCACATTTCCGACAAAACTAAATGAATAAAGTAATTGTAATACAAAACTGAGTGACCACAAATAAGGATTGGGAAATAGACCATATTAACCCTTTGAGCCCCGAATTCCATAATCATAGCACATTGTTCACATATTTAATGCAACTATCCAACATAGGATATGGAAAACATTTGACATCGCTACATCCTTGCATTCGGGAGATACGGTACATTCTTTCTGAAAAATAAAGGCCCAATATCAAGAAAGCAACAAATTCTCCATATTCTGTTTTACAAGAATCAAAAATAATTCTGATGGCAAAATTCGTATATTTCGAATACTAAGCGATATGAATAATTTGGACTGTATACACACATGTTTGCCCTCTTCTCTACATAACATAATGTTTTAGAGCTTATATTTGATATGCAGCTAGTAGATACATATTATTTGGATTTCATATGTCAAGATCTGATTATGGACGACACACATCAAAAGAAAAATTAAAAAAATTCCAAATTTTGGTAAAGTTATGAGCTTCTCGATATAGAGAGTAAATTTGTGTACAGTACTAATTTGTGTACAGTCCAAATTATTTAAATCGCATCGTATTCGAATTGTACGGATTATATTTGATTATTTTAAAAAAGAATACGGAGAATAATTTAAAATGATTTTTCTTTCGATTTTGCATTTGGTTTTCCTGATATTGGACTTTAATTTTTCCGAAGGAATGCAATGTATCTCCCGAATGCAAGGATGTAGCAATGTCAAATTTTGTGCATATCCTATTTAGGATAGTTGCATTAAATCTGTGAACAGAAATTTGTTCTAAGACTGCGGAAAAATTCGGGGCTCAAAAGGGTTAAAAAGCTCATAACACTATCAAAAATTTGATTTTTTTAGATTTTTATTGTGATATGATAGAGTTAAAGCTCACACAAGTCCATTTTAAAGGTATTTAATTGTTTAAGATTTCCGCTTTTCACTTCTTCTTCATTTTATTTATCTTAAACCCAAAATAAACAAAAGTTTTTGTCCGTGACAAAGCAAAGTTAAACAAAGGAAAATATCGGAAGGAGGCTTATTGATGGCCATTAAATGGTCCTTTAAAATATTCACAAGGAAAGACACGTTTATTGATGGCCTTAAAAATGTTCGTTAAAACCTACACGTTTATTGAGATCCCAAAAAAATTCCGTAAAACTACAATGTTAATTACGGTCCTTCAAACATATTCTTTAAAAAACCCACGCTTATTGATGCTACTTAATAAGTTATTTGAAAATCCACGCATATTGCATGTAGACTGCACGAATAGTCATCAATATTTCATGTATGGATTATATCCCAAACGCATGCAAGAAATATTTCATTGCATTGCCAAATTAAGCACATTATTTAAAGATACATAGACGTATCACATAACGTATAAACACAACACATAGACATTCAAGTTTTTTGCCATCGTTATACTACCCTGTAGGGAAATGAACCAATTTTAAACTAACTTTAAACTAATTTTAAAAAAGTCACTACTAGTCCATTTATCGATTATTTTTCTTTGGACCAACTGACTATTTTTACATGGCGATGATCGCGGTAGTAGTCAGTAACTTTTCAACTGGTTACAAACTAGTTATTTTTGACCGATTTATAGTTAGACTAAAAAAATTTCAGATAGTCATCGGTCTAAAAGAGATTAATTTGTATGTAGAATTTTCGAAATGACTATTAGTTGGTTTATGTTAATATAACTATTAACTAACTTAACATGGCTAATTTGTAATTATACCAATACTACAATATTTGAATCAATGAAATAACGTTAGACAATATACAATTTCAGTTTAGAATTCAATATATTTGATTATAAATAGTTGGAAAATTACATACATAGATGGAAATACATAAAATATGTCAACTAAATAATTCATCACAGAAAATTAATATAAATGACTGACTTATAGTTGTTTTTTTGTATGTATATGTTGTGAAAGTGACGTTTTTTAATAATATGCAATGCTTTTTGGAGCTCTTTCTCTAGATCCACTGGAAGTGATCGCAGAGCGTCCATAAGGCACTCGAAAACATTTTGGAAATATTTTAGGTAGGCTGATGAACATCTGAAATATATTGAAATTAAAATTCGAACTAGAATAGTTGGTTTTAATTTATATAATAAATTACTTACTTAAATTAATGCTGAGGCGTTTCACTGATTCTGGTGGGGACTCCATGTTTTTATTGGATGACTTTGTTATAAACTTTACAAATATTCTGTATATGCGCTACAAATTAAAAAAATAAATGTATATATATTTTTTCAGATTCTTCTCTTTGCTTTTTACATAATTTTCTACGATATTGTCTTATATTATTAAAACACTTACCAATTCATTTTTAATTTCACACTTAAAGAGCACAAATACAATTAATTACGATTTACACGTCTTCACTCTCCGAACTTACAAACAGAATGATTTTTCTTCATCTTTGCATTCGGTGTTGTTGTGTGGAATGCAATTCTATGTTTTTGATGACATGAACATATTTTTGGTTTCAATGTGGTTGAGTCTTAGATGACTTTCTAGCTAATTTATAATAAGTTGAATAATAATTTCTTTATAACTAAACATTTTGTAAACTAGTTGATTGAAGTCCTACAGGGTAGTTCTTGCCATGCACCAACATTGACCACCAGACAAAACATATTTTGTTCCATCGATAATCTTAGAATTACGAATGTGTAAGCGCCGAAGATGCTCTGCCACAATGACCATTGATTGCATTCCATTCTCGGAGTGGAGTCCGACACTAATTGCAATGAGAATGAATTTCTAACGCAGTGGTTTTCTTTTTTGGCGCTCTTTAGTGTTTTCACAACTGCTTTCGAAGTCGCAACACGTCTCCGGCACATAACTTCTTATTAAATTTGAAAATAAATCGTTAAATAGAATTTACAGGGAGGAAGACTAATGTTGCAATTGTAAAAAAGAACAATTCAAATAAATGACTTAAATGTACTGTTGTGAGCAATGGATTTAATATAATTTATCATAAAAATTGCCTGCATGACGACAGTGACACCAATTAATAAACAATTGGACTATTTATAGGCGTGGATTTATTATAAATATTTTCTTGGACTATTTATAGGAGTGGATTTATTTACAATACTTTTTGTCTTTGACTATTTATATTCGTGGATTTATGTAAAATATTGTTTTTCTTGGAATATTATAGGCGTGGATTTATTTAAAATATATTTTCTTAGACTATTAATAGGCGTGGATTTATTTACAAAACTTTTTTTCTTAGACTATTTATGGG